CAAGGATACAGAGTAGAGGTGTGTATAGGGATCCGGTATGTGCAATAAATTTTTTACTATATGGGACCATAGTGGAATAGTTTCGGCTAATCATGCTCTTGCTACAAGGCCTTTTAATTTGGAGGGAGAGGTTTGGGAAATACACTACTCATTGAAGGGATTTCTCTCAATATCATTAAGGGTGCACCAATATATTTAAACCGCCTTGGCGGTTAAGATCTATTTGTGATGCAGATCAAAATCTGGATGCCAAAAATTTTATTTTTATTTTTAGAGATGTGGATAGAATTTTTATTTATTTATTTAGGGTTAATTGTTATTATAGGTTTTTTCGGTGTAATTGATAACTTTATTTTTATAATAGTCAAATTTTAAAAATAGGATGAGTATGTTTTTTTTTTTTTAATTTGATAAGTTCAGAGTCCATTTATTCAATTTTAGTGAGTCCATTTATTTAAAATAAATAATATTTTTGTGGTAAGGTTTGTAGAAAAGAACAGATGTTGTTTTGGTGATCTTTAGTTGTAGTTTCCTTTCTGATAAGGAGGTGACGTCAATAGAATAAGTAATAAATGGTATTGGTTATCTATTAGAAAATAAGTTTTGTTTTTAGGAAACATTTTTTTAAGAATCATGATCATAAGGGAAATCTTCGTAAAGGGAAAGTTATGTGATTATGAGTCTTAGAAATATCATACATTTTTGTTTATATATTTTTGTATTTGCTCTTATCTTTGAATAGAGGCATAGAAATAGAGAGTTATCATTTTGATGAAGCCAAACTCTTTTGAAAGGAGCACTTACCATGTAAAGGAGAGATGAAATTTTATGAAATAGAGAATATGTTTTTTGTAAAGAGAGAGAGAGGCCTTTTGTGGGTGTTATTTCTCTTTTTGTGTTTATGGATCAGTGCCGGAATACTTGTATCCGTGTGATTTGTTCTTTTTTCTTGTGATTTCCTTCACGATTTTTATTTCTCTCTTAAACATGGTTATTTTTGCCTGTGTTGTACACCAAGTTGTATTAGAGCGTAGTCGATTCTTGTGGATCGTGATATTTATTGATAGGCATCATAGTATTGGGACTCAACCCATCCAGTAAGAGCGAGACCTCCGAGATGTCCAAGAGTTTGAGATCAAAATTTTGAGAAAGTAAGTAGACGTACTGACCCTATGCTTGACGCAAACACTAGTCATGACACACTATGATGACAGTAGTGAGTCAGACGCTATTTTCGAGATTTTATTCTATGTCAACGCTCTGTGTTGAGAGTCTTATGGTCGAGAGAATGATCTATTTCCTTATGGTCGGGAGATTGATCTACCTAAGTTTGATGAAGAACCCATTGAAGATGAAGAACAAGTAGATTTGGATGAAGAACAAGAAGAAATGAAAGAAATTGCCATTGAGGCTGTAACGATATCTAATTTTTTCGTTAATGGAGAGATATCTAATTTTTTCATTAATGGAGAGATGGAGAAGCAAGCGATCGAGCTTATGAAAATATTTGACGAAGAAAAGAAGGAAGCACTCAAAGAAGAGCTCATAAGTGAAGTTAAATTGGTTATCGAAAGTTCTTAGCTCTAAGATGCTCGCTTAGTATATTTTAGGACTGAGCATAAAATTTTCCTATGGATATACGATGACCCCTTCCTCGAGGGTTTATCGATTTCAGTGCATGTTTGGATCAATGTAGTAACTCACAGGTAGCAAGATCATGTTTCCAAAATTTTGGTTGAAGAAGGTTGCAACACTAATACAAAGTTGATCATAGCACATTTTAAAACTCGAGGTCAAGTTTTCTCCAATAAGGGAAGAGTGAAGCAAATAAAAATTTGGTTGCTAAAAATTTTATTTTTATTTTTATTATTTTTATTTTTAGAGAAGTGGGTAGGCTTTTTATTTTTTTTATTTAGGGTTAATTGTTAGAAATAAGTTTATTATAGGTTTTTTTTTGGTTTAGTTGATGACTTTTTTTATTATAGTCAAAATTTTAAAATAGGATGTATGGTTTTTTTTGGTTTAGTTTAATAAGTTTATTTTTTTATTAGAGTCCATTTATTTAATTTTTAGTGAGTCCATTTGTTTAAAATGAATAATATTTTTGTGGTATGGTCCGTAGAGTAGAACATATGTTGTTTTGGTGATCTTGAGTTGGTTGGTTCCTTTTTGATAAGGAGGTGATGTCTTTTAGTTGATAGTAATAGAATAGGTAATAAAGGGTGTTGGTTATCTGGTAGAAGATAAGTTTTGTTTTTAAGAAACATGTTCTTAGGAACCATGATCATAAGGGAAAACTTTGTAAAATGAAAGTTATGTGAATAGGAGTCTTAATAATGTAATGCGATTTTTGTTTATATCTTTTTGTATTTGCTCTTATCTTTAGATAGAGGTATAGAAATAGAGAGTTTTCATTTTGGTGAAGCCAAACTCCTTTGAAAGGAGCAGATAGCATATACAGGAGAGATGAACTTTTATGAAATGAAAAAAGTGTAGTTTGTAGAGAGAGATAGGCCTTTTGTGGGTATTGTTTATTCTTTTGTGTTTATGAATCCCTACAGGAGTACTCGGATCCGCATGCTTTATTTATTTTTCTTGTGATTTTTTTCACGATTTTTATTTCTATCTCTTAAACACGATTATTTTTGACAGTATTATTTTGCTGGTAATTTTTAATTATGTCAATTTGGTTGCAGGTGATAGACTTGTTATCTCCGTTGGTTTATTTTCAGTATGCTTATAGGGAGGCAAATATGATAACAAATGATCTAGCTAAGAAGCCTTATGGATTCTTTGAGAGTTTCTTATGTTATTTTCTAAGCAATCTATGTGTTCAATTTATTAGTGAATAAAAAGTGATTCTTTGAGAGTTTCTTATGTCATTTTCGAAGCAATTTATGTGTTCCATTTACTAGTGAATAAAAGTTAAATACTCTGTTAAAAAACACAAAAAGAAAAAAAAAAAAGTTTTAAGAGAGAAGGGAAGGAAGAAATAAGTCTTTAGAAAGGACCAAGGTAGCCGGCGGCATGGGGCTCCCAGTTATTTACGTTCCTTTTACTGCGTAGTGTGTAAAATCTGCACCGTTCATATAGACGAACGGTGTTGGAGGCTACAATCCAACTCCAATGAATGGAGCTGCCGCCCTATAAAAACCGGCCTGCTCGCCCGAGTGAATAATATGCACCCGTGAGATCACCTAATTCTTTAATGGAGCCCAGAGTAACAGGGTTCACGTCCCATTCCCCTCTAAGGGGTCAGCTGACTGGCAAAACTGAAACCGCCATTACAGAGGAATACCTGCCCTTCTCTCTCTCCCTCTCTGCCCTCGATAGACCAGAGATCCTGCTTCTCTCTCTCCTCTCGGTTGTCTCTATCAGATCTCTCTCTAACACGCAGTCCCAACTTCCACGCCCAAAGAGTACCCAACATTCTCGAATGCCACACCCTCAATTCTCTCTCATCCCCTGAGCCCAGAAACCCTAAAAATGGACGTCCTCTTTGGTTCCATCGACATTCGAGACCTCCTCCCAAACCATGACGATGTTGACCTCCAGGAGTCCCCTCTATCTGCACCCGACCTCCGCCTCCTAATTGACACCCTCAACACTCGCTCCCTCCACATAAAATATAGTGTCCATCGCTACCTCCTCGACCATCGTCAACATTTCTCTGCCATTTTTGCCCAGGCCTCCAATGCCTCCTCTGTGTCTTCAGAGCTTGAAACCCTAATTCAATCCTGTGATTTTGATGCACCCTTTGTTACAGAGATCGAAACCTTGGCCTGCGAGGCCAAGGCCAAGGTTCGAGAGCTCAAGGAGAAGAAGGAGGCGCTTGATTTGGTTAGAGTTTTGGCAAAATTGGTTGAGAAACTAAGGTTTGTGGAAGATGATATTTTTTCTGCTCGTATGGAGAAGGCGGCAGAGGGTCTAATAGAGTTACAGGCAAGGTTCAAAAATGGCCCTCAGCATTAATTCCATTATAATTCCTTGAATTCTCGTTATTTACACAATAACACCTTCATCATAATCTAGCGTGGAATTGCAACTGTTGTAACAGTTATCTTCATGATTTGAACCTTGGCTGCAGGGTTTGCTTGTAGTGAGAGAGGAGTGGAAGGAAGCAGGGGAAATTAGGGTTTTGGACGAGGAGAACGAGCCTGTAGTTTTTGGTCTGCTACGAAACAAGTGGATGTCCTGCTTCAAAGAGGTATTTTCCCTATTTTCCTTAAGTTAGTTTTGCTTTTTTTTGTTTTTTTGGGGGGGTGGGGCTGGGGTGGCGGTGGACTGTCCCTTACACCATTGGTACAACAGGGGGCACCCACTGTTCATTGCCGATAAAAGACAGGGCAGATTAATCGTAGCTTCAAATGACTTGCATTTCTCTTTTGGGATTGGATATCAAGGGTGTCTGTAGTTTCCCACATACGACATTGGTACAACTGGCGTTTTAGCATTTGATAAACTGTGAATCCAATGAATCAATCTAGAGTTTGGTTGGGATTTTGTTTATTTGTATTTTACTGTTTTGGAAAAGAAAGGTCTTTTAAGTTTTGTTCCTATTGCCCCGCAATTCTTTTGTACATTAAAAAGGAGGAAATTAGAATTGCCTTTTTGGATTAACACAAACAATTCTGTCTCCCTTATTTTCTTTGGGAATCTAATAATGAGCAAAGTTGAGCTTTTCCCCAGATGCGATTGTGCTGGTCTAAACAATCAGCCTCACTCCTTTGAGGTGGAATGGTGAGACTTGTTGGTTCATTCCAATTAGTTTGCCAATTACTTGGATTATTTTGAACTTTGCCTCAATTTCTTGCCTCATGCTTTCTACTATCCATGTGATGTTACTGATGATGCTGATGCTGCTTTGTGTAGTTGCAAAAGGCACTTGGGGTGCTTCTGGAAAATGCTGTTCAATTTGAATTGGAAGGCTCAAAGTTGAGAATCAGGCATTGCTCAGGAATGTTGCATGGTCATGAAACTGAGTTATTTTCAGTTATGAGAGCTATGGAGGTAATCTAGTGGTTCTGGTATTCCATTTTGCTCTAGATGAAAATTTTCTTTTTTGTTAGTTTTACAAGCATATTCTGTTGTATTTGAAGTTAGGATTCTCTATGCATATTCAATCTTCACTGGGCTTACTATATGATTCAACAACATTTGAAGTCATTCTTTTAGCATCGCATTGTAATCCGTTTTTTTCTTTGAGTTCGATTGTGCATCACATTTTATAGTGGTTATATTCGTTCATTTTTGAAAAGTGGTTGTTCTATGTTAATAACTTAAAGATGCAACAGACAATATGTATGCAAATCAAACAAAAATAGGACACCTAATTTATAATTATTAGGTAACTGGGTAGGGGCTCCTTAACACTAAGTTCTCTTTTTCCACTCCTATCTCCTCCACGCATGCGTTTCTGAGTTAGTTTTCCGAATGAAAACTTAACCACTGCAGCAGGGATACTATAGGTAATCTAGTCTAAATTATTTGTGGTCCTCTAAAGATAGGCAGCACCTTACTGTCCAGATATGATAAAATGGAGTAAGCCGCTCTCAACAAATAGTGGAGCTAAGAAAAACTATGGAAATAATTTGAGATTGATTGGGGGATTCCCGAGTGAATTGCCACTGAAACTGAGAATTAGGCAACCTTGACTGGTTGAGCTATGGTGCCTTGGGGCTGATGCTTGGGGTGGAACTTCTATCAAGCAAATGGCATTCGACAATCATGTCCACTTAACTCCACAGTCCAAGACCGCAAAGCTAAGGTTGCACAATATATAATAAATTCCATGATATATTGCCTGATTCTCAAGCAGTTTATATGTTTTATATTTGCATTGAAGGTATTTTTCATTTTACGTTTACATTGAATGATGGCTAGAGGGCACATCTTCTGGAGTAGGAAGCTGTTTCAGGCAACATTGTGTGATTGAACTAGTGAACCAAGGAACTTCAATATTTCATGCATGGCTGATGAAGTTTAGAAAATTTTAGGGAAATTTTCCAAATTCCACACTCACAAGGACAATGACAGAGAAGGTGATCCAACATTTCCTAACCAGTGTTTGAAAAGTCGACCGAATTTTAAAATTTGGCCGACTAACTCGGACTCAGGCACTGGCTGAGCCCGAATAGCCTGATTTCATAGGCCATGTATTGTGGCATTCCCCTACAGTGCACCAATTTGTTGATTTACTGCACAAATCAGCCAATTTATATATTAATTGGCACTAATTGGTTGATTTGTACACTAATTGGCAATTTATTGAAAAAAGCGATGGATTTTTGCACTGTTATAGTATAGGCATGAGCACCACCAGCAGGCTAGCTTTCTCTCTCTCTCTCTCTCTCTCTCTCTCTCTCTCTCTCTCTC